TCTTAGTTTGTGGTATTCATAGGATTGTTCCTACATACCTGCCTTTCCCTCTGACTTCTTCACAAGCCACCGACCCAAGTTTGTGCCACATCAATCACCATATGCTGGCAGTTTGCAATAAAATAACCAGAATATTATCTTTTTTTTTTCACTTGCAGTTCCTTAATTAAACTATTTTAACAGGTCAAGATGTGAATAAAAGAAATATCAGAACTATTACCCCAACAGAATGAAATGACTTTTTATGCATTCCTCTGTGTAAAAGCCAAAAGCTGCAAGAAGTTGAATCTCTTTCTATAAGCATTTTTAAAGGCACAGTTGAAAAGAAAAGAAGCTTGTGAAAGTTTCTGCCTATTGCTTTGAAATGCAGGTTTCAGTGCGATGGCATAACTATGGATTAGAATCATTCATGTGATAATATATGTGATTCAAATTATTGTGCTGATCGAAACTCCGGGATAAGATGACACTTGCCAATAATTTCTTGAAGATCCTGCTTTCATCCTGTTTCCTGCCTCCATCAATTCTTGGCTCTGTGGGAGCCCATCATGTAACAGCACTTGGACTGTGCACTCCTTGGGTGGAGAGAGAATAAAAGACACCCTTGAAAGTCTGCAGCATCTTTCACTATGGCCCAGATCCTGAGAATCAGCATTCACAGCCAAAGAGAATAGATGCAGTTTTCCAAAGTTTTCTTTCCCCTTTTCACCAGGAATCCCTATGGAGTAGCTCCACAGCCTGGATGGGAACATTCCTTCTCCCCGGGCCCCTCCATGGAGATCATTAGCACAAAATCTGCTACAGTGAGCCCAGTTAGGAAGTTGTCTTTTACCTTATTGGCTGTAAGTAAGATATTGCCAGTTCAAGCAGTATTCCCAGTAAGAAATATAGGGTATATTTGCTGAAATAAGTGGGGACAAATATGGAGGCCCAATTATTCCCTGGTGTAACTCTAGTGAAATCATTGAAATTACACCAGTGATGGTTTTGGACCTGGATGAATACACTCTTGATCATAAGATTCAGCGTTGTATAGCATAACTTTAAAAACGTGAGAAGGAAAGACATTTCCTGCCAAACAAACAGGGGACCAATGACTGCTGAATATCGATGTGCAATACGGAGAATTAAGGGAGAAGGACAACCGCAAGAGCACGCTCAGAGGAACAAGAACTTTTTATAATAAGGGTAAACAACTGCATTAGAGAGGCCAGAGCTCATTCTCCAGCCACCTGGTATTTATCTTGATTAAAGGTTAGATTGGAGGTCATAAGGTTAGAAGTTACTGTTGAAGGACAGGCGGTTGTAAGAGAAGAGACTTTCCACCGCAGGAAGACATGCTGCTGCAAAACAGAAACAGTTTTTGAAATTAAAATCAGTTGGGTATCACAAGTTGGCCCTTCTCGGGAGAATTCGGGAGTGGGTATTCAGAGGGAAGTTGCCTACAGGAGTTTAACCAAAATCAATAGAAAATGTTAAATGGGAGAGGGGGAACTTATGCTGCAACATGAAGAACTCACATTGTAAAACCTCTTCCCACTGAAAAGAGTCCCGAAGAATACCAAAAGCTCTATATTATTATTTGTTATAAGTAAGGATCAACGAATCAACGATCAACCTCGTTGTGCTTGGCAATGTTGAAGCATGTACATAAAACAGTCGCTACGCCAAAGGGTGGGAGACCAAGCTTCACTGATGGTCAGTATTCTACCCTCATTTACATCCGTGGAAGAGTAATTAAGCAGTGATTGAATTTACCCACTATGTAATATGTGGACAGGGGCTAATCACTCACTGCTAAATTGTCAAGGAACACATTCCCAGTGTGCAGTGAAGTGCAGTTAAATACACCGTTGTGTGTACATACAAAATAAAATATTTTCATAAAAACAACTTCTGGCCTTTTAATCAAGTGCATACTTTACATCAATAGGTGACGAATCTTGGCTATATCGATTGGTTCCGTGCTGAAAAAGTGGCAAACATCAGAGGCTGGTGCTTGGGAGTGAATAGGGACGATATATACTGTGACCAGAAGCCAATGCTCCTACAGCCAAACCTTGACTATCAAAACTCCAATTAACTCAAACTCTCATCTTTGCCAAGATTTTGATTGAAGCTCTAAGTTCTGCAGAGTTTCTAACTAGATGATTTTAGTGAGGCGAGGACTGGGCCTTTATGGCTTGACTTTCAAAATGCCTAGCACCCGTACCTTCCACCGATTTGTGGGTGCTCAATACTTCCGAAAGGCATGCCACCCTGTCTGGAGGGTGCAGAGGGGGGATTGAGCCCGCGCATGTCTTGCTGTCCAGCATCACTGCTTTTCTCGGGCTGACATTCCGTATGGACGCTAGCCTGTTCCAGAAGGTTTCTTTCCTGGACAGTTCCCTACAGACGGCAGCTCTTTCAGCGCACACCGCAGCCTGCAAAGTCACGGTAGCTGTATGCAACTTTTTCTCTGAGCTTCTATTTGGGGAGCTTTCTTACCAGCTTCCCACCCCCTTCGTTTATACTTGCACATCCCTGCTTCTCAGCCTGCCACCCTAACACGCCCTTCGACTGGACACATCGCCTTGTCTGGTGTGCTTGTCTCGCCTTACAAGACTTTTCGAGTTCTCTTAAAGCTGCACCGCTGGTCAGGTGGGGGAGTGTATAAACAGGAGGAAATGGCTCTATAATTCTGTGCCAAAGCCGTGGGCTTTGATTCTGGCTCTCTCTCTCTAGATCAACTTACTTTCTAAATGCTCTTTGCTTTCCAGAATTGTCCTCTAAAAGCATTTCACTGTGAGCACACCTGAAAACACCCACTAAAAGAGAAGGGTCATCAGCAAGAGGAAGGTGCTAACCCCTTTAGCTTTTGACATTTTACCTGGCCCACTGCACAGAACAAGCGGCTGGCGACTGGCTGGGCGACAAGAGCAAACGTGCAGCTGCAGAGTGCGGGCTGCACCAGGATCACCGACCTGCTCCCCTGAACAAAAGGCTTCCTGGAGGTGCTGGTGACTTTGAGGACTCAGCACTCCCGGCGAACAAGAGCAGAGCTTGCCAGCTAAAGATTGACAGTTTCAATTGCCAGACGACAATGCGACGCCCGCTGAGGTTCCCGGGTATGAAAGATTCAATGAGATTTTTAGTGCTCTGAAGGTTTATGCATAAACAGCATGCACAAATCAAGTGTGTGTGTGTGTGTGAACTGTATACACACACGTACATATAGAGAATTCCCTTTCCTCTCCCTTCCCCAAACCGTTTTCTATACATCACTGAGAGACTCCAGCAGGAGCACCGAATCAATAAAAAATCTACATTTATTTTTCCTTGCAAAACTTTCCTTTGCTGCATGTGGGAAATGACTGAAACAGCTGCAAGGGCCACTTCTCAACAGCGCCCAGAAGTTAGAAATCCTGTACATTGTGTGTCCAGCCGGTACTAACACCACACACACACACACACACACACACACACACTTCAGGCTCAGTCAGCCGTGTGTGTGTGTGTGTGTTGATTAAAGCATCCTCTCCATTAAACAGAGTGTGAACGTGAGGGCGGCGGCGGGGGGGGGGGGGGTTCTAAATGACAGGGTGATAATGCTTTAACAATCGGCTATTTGCTGTCTAGGACTTTAAATCCACACAATAAACGGGGATTTACACAACGTTAGTCCATAGAAGCGCTGGGCTCCCATCAGAGCGCTCCCCAGTCCTGGGGTTTCTCGCTGTGGGGCGGGGGGAGAGATTGCGACTCCGAGAGGAACCCGATAAAACTAGACCAATTCACTGGTTTATTGCCGGAAATCGAAGGCTGGCAAACAACAGATTACAGCTATCAAGCTAATAAAAACCACCTACTGCCGCCCTAAAGCCTAATCTCTGACCCCGTCTACTTGAGCGCTTTTCTTTGTAATCTGTTGTTTGTTTGCCTTTCCCAACCGGATACTGACTATATCTGAATGCAAAACTTCCCTAGCAATGTACGGGATACGGGTTCTGGAACGAGGATGCGCACATCGTGTGAATGGGATGCATCACTCGCGGGCAATGCTCTGGGGTGGCGGGCGAGCTGGGCTTGGCCTGCCTATGTTTAAGCAGTCCAGCAGCTGCGGGGGGCCGGGGGGGGGGGCAGTTTCCAACAAAAGCAAATGCAACTTCCGCAAGGACCCCCTCCAAGGGGGCTACAATACAGAAGGGCCGCACTATCGCCCCAGCATGCACAGCCTGGGTTAAAATCAGGGGGCGGATAAGAGATAACAGACGTTACCAAAAGACAGGATCCCTCCCAAAAGCACCAGCCATCCCCGCCCCTATCAGGGATCGCTGCAGCCCGGGGTCTCGGTCTAAGGTCCCCAGCTTTGCAGGCTCCCTGGCCCCTCGCTTGCAGCTTGTTTCCAGCGCAGAAAAGCCCCCTCGGGCAAACCCCAGGGCTCAGGGTTCCCGCCCAGGAGCGGCAGGTAGGGCAGGGGGGACCAGGCGAGAGATCCGCCGGAGCGAAACGCGGCTTGGGGCTTGGCCCGACCCGGTTCCTCGGCCCGCTCTCTCCTGCGCTCACAGCCTCGGGGCGGGCAGCCGGAGTGGAGGGATGCCCCGGGCTCCGGTGGGAGAGGAGCAATGCACTGCCGGGAGGGGGGCAGAGGAAAGGCTGCCGCGGGCGCTAGGACCCGGAGGGAACTTCCCCGGGCAGGGGGGCGGGTGGTGAGCCGCCGGGAACCCGCACTCGGCACCGCACGAGTTGCGCTGCTCCGGCGGCTCCGAGCCGGGCTGTATATAAGGGGCGGAGGCCGCGCGCCTCTCACTCCCGGCCGCGCTGCTGCCTGCCGGAGCCCAGCCCCTGCCTGCCCCCGAGCGCTCGGCGGCCACAGGGGCGCCGCCGCCTTTGCCGCCCGCCGCCCCTCGCAGCAACTTGCTGAAGTGGGCGGCGGTGGCGGGGCAGAGCTCCCGCGGGGCACCAGCGAGGCGCACAGGGCTCCCGCCGCGTCCCCCGCCAGCCCGGGCGGCCATAGGCAGGGGAACCTCCGCCCGGCCCAGTACCCGAGGCGTCGCGCTGTTCCCGCCCGGAGGCTGCGGGCTGCCCGGGGAGCGTGGCGGCCCCAGTCCCGCAGGCAGAGCCGCTCTGAACCCCGCCACAGCGCGGGGCGGTTTCAGGCTGGCTGCAGCCGCGTGTGCTAATGCACCGGCTCGCGCGGTGCCCGGGTTTCGCTGGCGCCACTGGGCAGGGACCCGCCGGGGCGCAGGAGAAGCGAGAAGGCTCCCCATTGGATTGCCCGGCTCGGGCGGGGATGGGGAGCGTCGCCTCTCCGCAGTCCGTGCCGGGGCCGGCGGAGTTGGAAGAGGTGCAGCCAGCTCCGCAGGCGATCGGTTTCCTGGCGGGGGGAGCTGCCCTGCCATTTGCCGCCTCGGGTTGCTAACTCAACGCCCGTCAGTTTGCCGGCTGACGCTTCGGCTGAGAAAGTGATGGAGCAAGCGGCTCCCTGCCAGCCAGCACCCGACAACCTGAAGGTGCTGCAGACCAATGACTCGTACCACGACCGCAATTGCAGTGCAGCGGAAGGGATCTACCAAGATGCCACTCCGCTCTCCTGGAAGATAGTCCTCACCATTATCTTGGCTCTTATCACTCTCGCCACCATGCTCTCTAATGCATTTGTAATTGCAACCGTCTACCAGACGAGGAAATTGCACACTCCGGCCAACTATCTCATAGCCTCCCTGGCTGTCACGGACCTTCTTGTGTCTATCCTTGTCATGCCCATTAGCACCATGTATACTGTGACCGGGAAATGGACTTTGGGCCAGATCGTCTGCGATGTATGGCTATCTTCGGATATTACTTGTTGCACAGCCTCCATCCTCCACTTGTGTGTCATCGCCCTGGACAGATACTGGGCGATCACCGATGCAGTTGAATATTCTACGAAAAGGACTCCCAAGAGGGCAGCGGGCATGATCGCTTTGGTCTGGGTCTTCTCTATCTCCATCTCCATGCCGCCTTTGTTTTGGCGTCAAGCGAAAGCGGAAGAAGTTTCTGACTGTGTGGTGAACACAGACCACATACTGTACACCGTTTACTCCACAGTGGGAGCCTTCTACTTCCCCACCTTGCTGCTGATAGCCCTCTATGGAAGGATCTATGTGGAAGCCAGATCTCGGATTTTGAAACAGTCGCCAACGAAAACAGGCAAAAGATTAACAAGGGCTCATTTAATAACCGACTCCCCCGGATCATCGTCATCTGTCACCTCCATAAACTCGAAGGCCCCAGAGGCTTCCAGTCCAATCGGATCTCCTGTATATATGAATCAGGTCAAGGTGAAGATCTCGGATGCTCTTCTGGAGAAAAAGAAGCTCACGGCCGCTAGGGAGCGGAAAGCTACCAAGACTTTAGGGATTATTTTAGGAGCCTTCATTGTCTGTTGGTTGCCCTTCTTCATCATCACCTTGGTGTTGCCTATTTGCAAGGACGCTTGCTGGTTCCACATGGCCATCTTTGACTTTTTCACCTGGCTAGGGTATCTCAACTCTTTAATCAATCCCATAATCTATACAATGTCCAATGAAGACTTCAAACAAGCTTTTCATAAATTGATGCGTTTTAGATGCACAAGCTGAATGTTGAATGCATTGTGTTCTCCCGGGCTGCTTGAATACACTTTTGTGTCTGATTCTACAGGTAGGTTGATTATTGTTACAATGTTGTCATTTCTCTAAAAGGCTGCTCTAATGGGAGAGCGAAGTTCAATCAGGCAAGCAGGGCTTTGCTTCCCTTCAGAGGGGCGAATCTGTAAAAGTTTCTCCTCTAGCCCGGGTAATGACACTGCTGCTTCTGATCCCGCTAAGTAGCAATAGCTCTAAAAAAAATCACTGTTGTCTCTCCTGGATTATGCCCTCTAGAGCCCGTAGAGCACTGTTAGGAATTGGAGAGCTTTTGGACACCTCCTTTGGACAGATCTACAGCTTGGCAGTACTTGAACTAGAAGTTTATCGCCCAGCATGCCCTAGGAGAACTTTGTGTATCAGCTGTCTCTGCAAGTCCTTTGGCAATGTCTCGCTACAGCTATCTTGCTCTTTGTTTCTTTAATTTAAAACATGACGGAATGAGCCACGTGGACTTTATAAGGTTCCAAACCTTAGTTTGTAAGCGGACAGAGCAGACAGCTGGAAGAATTGGCAATGATGGGTTGAGGCTAACCACCTTATACTTGAAACTGGGGGCAGGGAGGGGTTATTGAGTATGAAAATAGCAACCCCGTTGTGTTTGTTTTCCCGCAGCTGTGTGACTTATTTCTGTTTAGCTATTGTCAAATCACGTTTAACAAATCAAACTAAATTGTACGTGCGCTCGTGCCAAAGCCTGCAAGCTGCTTTCATTTTATTGCCGCTACACTCTTCTGACATTTTACATATTTAAACTCTCAGCCAAAGGAGGCCCATAAGGAGTGACTCACACCAGTTTGCTGTTATTTCCACATATTAATACAATCATTTAGCCCAATTAATGTTAAACAACCCTGTCTTTTTAAGATGCCTTTGCTCTCTAATCCAATTCTGCCAATCTGTCTAGGGCGGAAAAAAAGCAGAAATTAATTCAGAACAGTAGACTGGTCAAACGGAAGCTAATCTGATTACAGTGACACTGGGGTCGAATTAAGAGAGCCTTGGCGTATTTTCTCCGTGCAGGACTTTTAAAATGCGAAGTATTTTCTCTTTGCACTCATTCGCAATAACATTCCTTTCACTTCTAATCCCCTTCTCATGCACCATTATGCACCTTCAGAGACCTGCTCCCTTTCCAATAGTATTTGTAACGCAATATAGTAAGAACCCCGCTGTAGCTCCGGTCTCTTGATTACTCATCTCCTTGTGAGGATTACATGAAATACATGGGCCATCTGCCTTAGAACAAATAGAAATGGCAAAGGTAGCTAGTTTCAGTGCTTCTGGTTTTTGCTCAAAGAATTTGGGAGTTTTGGGGGCAATATTTAGATAAAACTAAGTGCCAGAGTTAATGTAACATTCACTGGGAGGAATGAATGTTGCTTCCAGGTCGATAGTTCATACTGAACTGTGTAAGTGCCCGCCCAGCCTTCTCATTTGCACCTCTCAGGAGACTGATAAGTAGTTACTTCTCTAGACAGAAAGATCAGAAGATTTCACTGTGCAGTTGGAGCTTGATCCAAAACTCCAACATTCAATATGAATTTTTCTATCTATTTCAACTAGTTTGGATCTGGCCCTGTTTTAGGAGTGACCTTAACTTCAGCACACTATGGGTCCCATGCTGCCTTTGTACACCCACAATTCCCTTTGGCTTCAAAGACAATTTTGCCTGAATAAGGGTTGCAGGATCAGGATCATTTGAAGTAAGATGATTTTAATATAAACATTAACATTCTATACACAGTCCCACTAAATTAAGTGTCCTAAAGGATTCTGTTTACTTCACATGTTGAACAAATGTGCATTTAGCATAATATGATGTAATATATATACTTTTCAGTGCCATTTTATGCAGAATACTTACTGTCTTTGTTGTGACACTTTAATAATTCTATGAATTTTTTCCCTTTTTGTCTGCAGAATCAAGTTGCTATTGTAAAGACACACTGCTTGAACCCCTCCCGCCCCAGTTGTCAGATTCATGATGCTGCAATAACATCAATACATACTGCCACCAAATTGTTCTGCCCTGCATTTCAATGTAATGACTCTTGCAAAGATGCTTTTCCAAAAAACACATCTCTTACAAAAAGAGAGCAACTGCAAATCAAGATTTAGAACTGATCGGGGTTGGAAACAAAATTTGAGAGTAAAACGTCTATTTATTTTGCAGGCTTGCCTTTAACTTTTCTCTTGCAAGTTGTAGGGGTGTGCATAATAGTTGTTTGTGTCTGTATGAGCATAGTTGTACTTATGTGTACCTGTAATTTCTTTCTTTCAGTGGAAAGAGTTGTTAACTTTACTTTAAAAAGGGACTGGAGGAAAACTGCAGCATTTAAAAATAGGAACATAAACTGTGTAAATGACTCCTTGGGCAGAACATGTGTGTGAAGCAGGAGTGTGCAAAATGTTATATTTGTATTTGAAACAATAGTAAATACAAATACTGTAGTAATAAGAGTCCTAGATGTATTCAACTGCATCACACATGGCTGTGTCCTCGGTTTATCCTTTAACAATTGCTATCTCTCGTATTATAGTTTCCTTCATAAGTTAAACAGTTCTACTCAAACATTAAGGGAAAACAAAGTTCTGTGCTTTACCTTTAAACAACTGGGACTAAGTACTATTTGATGTTGTAACTGAAGTTTTTTCTATTTTTGTGTCCGTTGCACACCCTTACTGCATCAAACACTGGAGAATTTAGACCATCTAAAATACTTAATATTGATTATTCTACTCTGTAGGGAGATGAAGCAGTTTGCTTTGTTAAAAGAGCCACAGCACCTGCAAAATAAATACCCATAATCCTGGATAAACTGATGTCAGACATCAGTGAAATAACTTTCATTTTTTTTCTTTATTCAGCTAAGATCTTAAGACAAGTCTACTTAAGTCCAGCAGTCAAAATTAGTTTCAGACTGTGGCCACCTGCTGTGATACAAATGCATTGAGTGTTCCTCCTATGTGTAACTGAAAATGAAATACAAACAATAAAAAGCTTCACTGTGTTCTCAAGAGTATTTAGTAGTAATTGTGTTACTAACAAGAATATTTATTGGTTCACTTGGCTTTCTCAATACTGTCCTTATAGGTAAAGATCATTTGATGTATCTATCATTCAAGACCGTGATTGATGAGGGCTAAAATTGTAAGCTGCAATCAGCTATCAGGTTTTTAATAGAGTGCTTCACTCTTGAGCCTTCCACTGTCCTTAGGTATAACTTCTATGTTTATTTTCTGTACCATCACAGATAAATTTCAGTAATATAAATTACATGCTTAATAAAAGCACAGCTTATCGCAATAAGAATAAACAAAACCTGCTTAGTCACCCAAGTGACACAGTAATTAATGCTCCTATTGAAAAAAGAATTATGCTAGACTAGACTTTGTTTGTAGGCCTATCAAGAGAAATATGTGGGATTTAGTCAGCTATTATCCACATATGCTTGCCAGGAGAATCATTTAAACAATATAAATTTACATATTTAATTCAACAGCAAATACCTGAGCCTTCATCCTTGCACATCCAAAGCTCCCATTAAATACAGGCGTGTGTGTGTATGTGCGCATACATGTGCACAGAATACAAAACATAGCTCACAAATTGCAAGCACAACCAATGATCAAAATACATTTGTAGAAAGCTGATAAAATCTAGAAGGCTTTCTTAAGACTGGAATGGCTAATTACCACCACAAGTTTTTAGAAAGTGTTCTTTTTAATTATTAAAATACAGCATTGTTTTTTCAAAATATAGAAAAGTTTTTTTCAAACATTGGCTTAATTGATAGAAGTGCTGCAGTGCCATTTAAAATGTCTCTTTAAACCTGATTTTTAGAAATTTTTGTGAAGCCAAAAGCAAAGAAGAAAGCATTTAATAATACTTAGCCTACACTATATATAGTACCTTTCATTTTCAAAGTTGTTTTCAAACAGTGGGCCAGATCTTGTTCACCCCAACCAGCCACTGATATGGATAGGAATTTTGAGTGTCCAACGAAAGGAGGATCAAATCCATAAATAAATTAATACTTATAACGTCCCTGTTATATCAGTTTTATAGCAAGGAAAAGCGCATACATGACTCATCAGATAAAGCCATAAAAGAAGTCAGTGACAGAGCCAGGATTAGAACTCTAACATCCCTTGTTCTCAGATCATTAGACGAAGCCTTTATTTCCAGTCACTGTAGGACTGACACTAGATACTACTGACCCCTAATTGTGATGTGAAAGTTTTGCTAAATAGTAGCAGAGATAATCCATCAAGGGATTATCTGTGCAAGTTTATGATGAGTCTTTCTTTGACCTTCCAGCACAAATAAATATGCTTCAGCTAATAATAGTCACTGTTGGGAAGACAATCATGGTAGAGATTGCACTGAATGATTAGAGGCCAGAACAAGAAATCTTGGATTAAACAGAAACCACTTTAATATATCCCCTTGTTACAGGATTTACTATTGGCTGAACACTGACCATGTATTTCAAACATGTAGCTAGTAAACCATTCCCATAGGAAGATCTGCAGATTGAAAAGGCACAGTACAGTACGAAGTGGCAGTACTCATGGAGCACAGGGATTCACCAATAGGTTAAGTGTAAGCACCTTTCCCTTCCCACCTCCAAAGATACACAACAGAGTGAAGTGTATCGGGAATGAAGTTAGGGGAAATATCAGTCAAACTTGTCTAGTAAACATGCAAAGCAGAACAGCAGAGACTACTCTTACAACCTATATTTCAAGATGGAAGAAACCCCTCTGCCGGATAGAAGCTAGGAACGTCTGGCCATAGGCCTAGGGGCAGCCACTCTACCCAGCAATAACTTCATTTTGGCATCTACCTTCTTAGGGAAGGGGTAGATCACATTGACAGCATGACTTCTGATTGAAGTGGGCTGTTAAAGCTCATGGGGATCCAGGGAGCAGCATGAAAGGTTTGGTTCAGACATACCAGAGATCTGTGGATTTCCCCATAGATTTTAGGGCATCTGCAGGATTAGAGAGTCATTCCCTCTTACTCTTTTGAATGGTCACCAGTTCCACAGGAGATGATGGGGCATCAGAAATGTTCGCTGGGTGAAATTAACCATTCCCCGCCTCCACTCTGAGTAGAGGAGTTGTCTTATGCATCTGTCTTTAATGAGCATGTCCTTCATAATCTTGTCAGTAAATTGCTAAAATCCTAAAGGTGCTTAGCACACAGTGTATTAATCTTTGCTTATGAAAGCAGCAGGTCTTGCTATTAGATACAATCATGATTTTTGCACAGGGCTTGAACATAATAATATGATGTTGTTAAGAAAAAGAAGAGCTGGGCACTGAGGTCTGAAATACCAGGAGTCTGTGATCTCTGTGCTTCCCATGTCTGGAGATAAAGTGTACATGTGACAGTGATGTTCTAACATTGCTGGTTGATCAGCATGCAGGTAAAGAGAGACATATTTGTGAGTAGTCAAGAATAATCATAGTTAAGGTAGTGGCTCTTAGCTTCACAGCTACCACTTTCCTGTACTCTTAACAGGCATTTCCATCTCTCCCATTCGTCACACCTGCACAGGATATTTAAATCAATGATAAAATCCTCTTTCCTCCCTTAATGCAATGGTTCTGAACCTTTCCAGAGTACTGTAGCCCTTTCAGGAGTCTGATTTGTCTTGTATACCCCCAAGTTTCGTCTCACTTAAAAACTACTTGCTTACAAAATCAGACATAAAATCACAAAGGTGACACTGCACACTATTACTGAAAAATTGGTTACTTTCTCATTTTTACCATATAATTATAAAATAAATCAATAGGAATATAAATACTGTACTTACATTTCAGTGTATCGAACATAGAGCAGTAAAACAAGTCATTATCTGTATGAAATTTTAGTTTGTACTGGCTTCACCAGTGCTTTTTATTTAGCTTGTTGTAAAACTAAGCAAATATCTAGATGAGTTGATGTACACTCTGAAAGACCTTTGCATATCCCCAGGGATATGTGTACCCCTAGTTGAGAACCCCCGCCTTAATGCACTATGCAGCAGCAGGGTAAAGTACAGCCATGGCATACATTTGAATGCTAGAAAGGGGCTTGGCTAGTTGCCAGTGCTCTGAAGGGCATGTCCAGCCACACGGACTTTCTGTCTATCTGGGCATTTGTATCATACAGATCATCATGGCATCTGAGCATTCTGACCTGGCTTGCAGCCCCTGCTAGAGTTTGTGAGGTAGCAATGGTGCTTACTGTTCCTTTCTGGAGTAGCAGTAAGGAGTGCTGTAGAATCCTGTGCTGACATCTCCCTACCCCATCCCTGATTCCCTTGTGCCATCCTACCCTCTGTTAGCATATCGGTTACTAGGCCTTCTGATTCATAGCGCTTTCCCCCATGAACCCTTGGTGAGTGAGGGCACAGTTTTGCTTTAAGTGAGCACCTTTATTCACTGTTCACAAGAAAATCCAGAAAACCCAAGTAAATCCAGTGACTTCAAAAAGGAAGGGAAAGCGAAAAACGGAGGGCATCATATGAGAGCAAGTGATGTAGTTCAGATCGTTACATACAGCTAGAGCTGCTGTGCAACAGAATACACTTTTGAATCATGAGGTGGATGTTTGGTGCACATTCTGTATTAATCCAAGTACAGACATTTTAATCAATTCTAAAAATGTTGCAGGCCCTGAGGAATAGGAGAAAAACAAACATAAAACCAGTTTTAAGAAATGGAGCAGGGAGGAACTAGGAAATCACAGAGCAGTAAACATGGTGCTAGGAAGGATTCTAGAGCCATTAATGAATATACAGCAAATAAATTAAAGCAAGACACCACTCTCATGATTTTCAGGGTTGCAGAAGACAAGGAGGCCAGCAAGTAGTTGAGAAAAAGGAATAATTTCTACAGAGACTGAGGGAAATTATAAGTATGCTCCTAATTCAGCAAGATACTTAAGCATGTGCCTCACTCGAAGAACACGAGTTGTCTGTTTGACTTCAACGGATCCACTCAGGGTATGTCTACCCTGCAACTAAAAACCTGCGGCTGGCCCATGCCTACAGACTTGGGCTTGCGGGTTTGGCTAAGAGGCTGTTTCACTGCAGTGTAGACGTTCTGGCTCAAGCTGGAGCCTGGGCTCTAGGACTCTGTGAGGGAGAAGGGCCTCAGATCTCTGTCTCAGCCTGAACCCAAACTGCTACACCACAATTAAACAGCCCTGCAGCCCAAGCCCCACGAGCCTGAATCAGCTGGCACAGGCCAACCGGCGATATGTAATTGCAATGTAGTGCCCTCACACACTTTCAGTGAGGCATGTGCTTACTACCTTTCTAAATCAGAGCCTCTTATTTAGAAAGGTACTAAGTTGTTTCAACAGTTTCTTTTTAAGTAAATGTAAGATTAAGAGGCTTGCCTTGGAAATAGAGAGAACAAAAGTCAGGGGTGTCTGTTGCTTCACAGAAATGTAAAAAACCAGCTTGGAATGTGTGATGAAGCAGAATAGAATAGAGAACAGCTGAAGAGCAGCCTCAGTAGATTAATGTGAAGTGAGAAAGTGCACTTGTAAAGAAGCGAGCAGAAATTACAATCTCACTAGATGTAGGTGGCATTAGGGGAAAGAGGGTGATGAATAAACAGTTTGGAGTGAGTGGGAGTGCAGTAACATCAGCAAGGGGTACTTTTCAGTGATTCTTTTCAAAGGCAGCCTTCAAATGAGTTTCATATTACTTTAAAAATGATATCCCAAATTCGAATAAATAATGGCATTCAAGACAAAGTGCCTACATAGTGCAATTAAACTATCTCACAACCACAAATTTCAGCAGGCCACTAAACGCCTTGGCATAGAAAGATCAGATAAAAGAGCAACAAAGAAATCTAAGCTTTTTAATCAACTGCATATTAAGCTTGAAAGATGTGATATAACACTAGACTCACTGTACTAGGTGAAGATCTGATCCACAGAATATCACAATTACAGTACAGAAATCAACATTTCTGTAGCTGGAGAAAGAGACTCTTTACTATTCCTC